TTGCCTTAAACTAATTATAGTTTAAGCGTCTGAGAAATGTTTGCCTTAAACTAATTATAGTTTAAGCGTCTGAGAATGAAATTATGATCTAGCCTTAGACTAAGAATAGCTAAGAGCATTATTATGATTTGGCCTTAGACTAAGAATAGCTAAGAGCATTATTATGATTTGGCCTTAGACTAAGAATAGCTAAGAGCATTATTTTGATCTGGCCTTAGACTAAGAATAGCTAAGAGCGTTGTTATGATCTGGCCTTAGACTAAGACTAGCTAAGAGCGTTGTTATGATCTGGCCTTAGATTAAGAATAATTTAAGAGCACTATTGGATTAATATCTGAATTGAATAAAATATGTTGATATGAACTGAATAATACCAAAACTGTGAATGTCTGAAGTGAACATTGTGTGCATGATATCAAATGATTTGATTATGAATTTAGATTCAGTTTATATGGATGTTCGACGAATTAGATATGCTTACTCAGCTTTACCGCTGAGCGTGTAGTGTGTTTTATTTGCTACACGCAGGTAAGCAGAAAGCACAATGTGATCCTGGCGGCAGATGGGGCGAGATTGTTGGGATGGATGTGACAAGTTTGAAATGATTTATGATATGTAAAAATTAAATTCGCTTCCGCAATATTGTTGAATACTCCGTACTGTATATGTTATGTAAAATTATTGGGATTAATAAAGTGTGTTTGAAAAGTTTTAAATTTTTACCTTACCAAGTTAATACTTTAGTCCGGAAGGGGCTGCAGAATTGGACGGATTAGGGTGTTACAATGTTGACCAGCCCCCGGGGTTTGAAGACTTTGAGTTTCCCGACCATGTCTTCAAACTCAAGAAAGCGCTCTACGGTCTTAAACAAGCACCCCGTGCTTGGTACGAACGGTTGAGTAAATTTCTTTTGGATAGTGGTTTCCAAAGGGGAAAGGTTGACACTACACTTTTTATCAAGAGTAAAAACAATAACATCCTTTTGGTTCAAGTTTATGTAAACGATATTATATTCGGTGCTACTAACGAGTCTTTGTGCAAGGAATTCTCAACGTTAATGACAAGCGAGTTTGAAATGTCGATGATGGGTGAGCTCACATTCTTTTTGGGACTCCAAGTCAAGCAAAAGAATGATGGCACGTTCATTTGTCAAACTAAATATTGCAAAGAGCTCCTAAAACGGTTTGAAATGGACAACACCAAAGCCATGGCAACCCCGATGAGCACGTCCGACCATCTAGACCAAGACGAGAAAGGTAAGGAAGTAGAAGTCAAAAAGTATCGAGGTATGATCATGTTTAGCGTATGCCTTTGCGCAAGGTATCAATCATGTCCGAAGGAATCACACTTAACAGCGGTGAAATGGATCATGAAATACCTGGTTGGCACGGTTAACGTTGGACTGTGGTATCCAAAAGGCTCTTCGTGTCATCTCGCTGGTTATTCTGACTCGGACTTTGCCGGTTGTAAATTGGACCGTAAAAGCACAAGTGGGACTTGCCACTTACTTGGTAGCTCTCTAGTCTCATGGTTTAGTAAGAAACAAGTCAGTGTTGCGTTATCCACAACCGAAGCAGAATATGTAGTCGCCGGTAGTTGTTGTGCTCAAATCCTTTGGATGAAGCAACAACACGTGGACTATGGCCTTAGTATCAATCACGTTCCTCTTCGTTGTGATAATACTAGCGCCATAAGCTTGACGAAGAACCCTGTTCTTCATTCAAGGACGAAACACATTGACATTAGGCATCATTTCATTAGAGATCATGTTCTCAAAGGTGATGTCGAAATTGAGTTTGTTGAAACACACAATCAATTAGCCGACATTATCAAAAAACCTTTAGAGAAAGAGTCGTTCTTCCGCATTCGAAGTGAACTCAGAATCCTTGACTCCACGATGATCTAAGTTGTGCATCTAAACTTGTTAAACGTTTACTAACTTGAGCGTCGGAGAACTTTTTTTTCTTTTTTGCAGGTACCCCGTTCATAAAATCAGGGGGAACCATGCAAACAGCGCTGTCCAAGAGACCCAACAGCGCTGTTGAGAGAAACACCGTCAACCAGTTTGTGTCAACCGCGCTGTACAACACGCCAACAGTGTTGTCCCTTACTTTTCACTTTCCAGAAACTTTTTGAACATCAATGTTCCTTCTTAAAACATCGCTGTCTACCCAAAACACCTTGTTTTCAACCAAAACCAGAAACTTTTCAAACAACGATGTCCCACTTTCAACATCGATGTCCATTTTTACAAATTTTTTCTCTATCGTAAAACAGCGATGTAGGGAAACCCAATAGCGCTGTTCTAATGGGTTCAACCACTTACACAATTCCAGAATGATTTGGAACAACGCTGTAGGGAACCCAACATCGCTTTCCTTTCAACATTTGTTTTTAAAACTTGACGCACAACAGCGCTGTCCGGAGGCTCAACAGCGCTGTCCGAACAGCGATGTAGCCTTTGGAACATCGCTCTTCTAGATAAATTTTTCAAAAAAATTATCCGTTGGCACCAGCATTAATTGATCCAACAGCCATATTTTTGAAAATCTGGACGTTGGAGACTTCCTTCTCTATAAATTGGGACCCCCTCTCTTCACTTTTACACACACAAACACAATTCTCTTCAACATCTTTGCTTATTTCATCATCTCTACTCTTCTCTTTTGAGTTTTTTTTTCTCTCATGGGCAAGGACAAGAGCAGGGCTGCCACCTCCGGGAAATCAAAGTCCAAATCCCGGGCGCCTACGACATCCACCGAGGAACGCCTCTACTATGGCGACGGATCGTACCTCTGGTTCGATTCCGAGGAGGAGCGCACCTGCTTTCTCACTTTCTTCTCTAAACGGGTAGTGGCTCCTCCACGGATCATCCCAGAGCGCTACCCGGAGTTGCAGGACTACGACGACCTCGACGCGTAGCTTCATCAAGCCGGCCTTTGGCCATTCGTCTCCTGGGCTCGGAAGGAGATCAACCCGGCGCTGATTCGGGTCTTCTATTCCAACCTCCGGCGTGAGGGCGACGTGCTCTACTCTCTTGTAAGGAGCACGCCGATATAGCTTTCCGTTGAGCAGCTTGGGCGCATCGCCGGCCTCCCCTACCAAGGCAACGACGTCTCCCACTATGGCGGAGAGGACTGGGTGCTCAACAACGAGGGGCTTATCCTCAATGAGCTTGGCATCACCGAGCTCATCCGCCATGCCTCGGGCCGCCCCACCATCCACTTCGCTAACCCCGAAGGCCGTCTTCTTCTCTACATCGTGTCCCGAATCATCAAGCCCCGGAAGCATGGCCACACAATCATGTTCGGTGAGGACCTCAAACTCATCCATGCGATCATGCACTCGGCCCCAATCAATTGGGCAAAGTTTGTCATGATCAACATGACGATTGCCGCGTCCACCGACCACGACCACCTCCTCCCGTACCCGTTCGTGGTGATGGACATCCTTGAATGGTTCAAGGTGACCACCACCGTTGGCCCACTCACAAAGGCCACGAAGATTTGGGCGATCAGCACCCAAACCTTCAAGAAGCGGTCGGACAACGCCGCGGACCTGCCACTGTCGTGCCACGGCCCCGTTCTGCTGCTGGCCTAGCCGAACCCCAGGCCCGGGCCAACCTTGCCTACATTGCTGACTCCCTCAACCGGCTGCACTTGAAAGTTGATGGGATGGATGGCTACCTTGAGAGGCTTGACGAGGCGGTCCAACGCCAAGGGTACGCCATGAACGCGTACTTCCAACGCGTTAACTACGTCCACCCACCATACCATGGCACGTTCTTTAGGCAAGTGTACGGTGACGAGGACGAAGACGATGCCTCCTACGACCCGTCAAGCTCCCCGGACGAGGATGAGTTCGACGACGCCGTTGACGGTGATGAAATGGACGTCGACAATGAGGAGGAGGAAACCGAAGACGAAGACTAGGACGCCCCTAGAATTTCTATCTCTTTAATTTAAATTATCCTGTTTTTTTAATGCTTCCGTTGTACTCCGCTATTTCCCTTTTTCAATAAATAAAAGTTATCCTTTATCTTTTTGTTAATGTCAAAAGGGGGAAGAAAAGGGTTATGCATACACTAAGGGGGAACGTCCCTAAAAACGGGATCCTTTGATTTTAATATGACAATTTTTTTAAGCACAAATTAAGGGGGAACTTTTTCACTCTTTTCAAAGTCAAATATCCCTTAGTATGCATATTCCCGTCTTGTTTGCCATTATCAAAAAGGGGGAAATTGTTGGAACACGGGTTTACGCCTACGTCGTACTAAACTGTGTTCGTTTTTATGACAGGTTTTGATAATGCCAAACCGCCGTGACACAACAAGGCTAAAGTGAGCAAAACCAAGGCAAAGAAACACGGCATGATGACATGTGAACCAAGAACCAAGAATCAAGAACAAAGAATTAGAATTGCATCAAGTCGGTCTTAATGTGATCAAGACCGGCACAAACTTCCAAATCTTGGCTCTCTAGGCTCAATTCATCAAAACCCTTTTTGCAAATTCAAAAATTTTTTTCATAAGTTTTTAAACCTGGCTAAAAACACTTGGAGTTCGCCCAAACCAAAAACCAAGTCATCCGGCGTTCAGCTTTCAGAAACCGGCGTTCGGCTTTCGGTTTTCGGCATTGGTTTTTGGAAATCCAAACCAACCAAGTGGTTTGTAACTTTTTATGATTGGTTTTTACTTCTAGGCATATTTAAGCAGTTCTCCATAAGAAACGCTTCAAAAATCACCTTCCGTTTATGGTCGTTTAGTGAAAACCATGCAAAACGACACAAACTTGGTTAACCGTGGCTTTCAACTAAATGACGTGGTTTTTAAGTTGTTTTACTTGATTTCTTAGCAAAATGCAATAAACAAATGTTTTCAATACTTAGTTTTTATTTTGGAGAACTTACGTTTTTTGACATCGGCTAACGGCATGACTAAACCAACCATGGGTCTGGCTAAACCAGCCCAACAGTGATGTTGGTGCACCCAAGAGCGCTGTCTGGCTTGAGTAGCTGAAAACCATAGTTTGGCGTTAAGTCTTCCAACAGCGATGTTGCACACTAGACATCGCTGTTGAGCCAAGGTTGGATTTCCAGAAACTTCTGGAACAGCGATGTAGGCTTCCCTACAGCGTTGTCCAACCTAAGCCAAAAATATAGTGCATTGGCAGAAAGTTTCAGGACAGCGATGTTGACCTAGAAACAGCGCTGTCAGGCCAAACTTCCATCTTCAAAGTCAGACCTAAACAGCGATGTTCTAGTATTGAACTTCGATGTAGGGACCTGACCGTTGGTAGGAATTTTAGGCCAAAACTTTCCTTGTTTGGAAGTCAACAGCCAAAACAGCGATGTAGAGGTATTGGACATCGCTGTTGGCATGACCGTTGCTTCCCAATTTTCAAAATGCAAGCCTAGAACAGCGATGTCCAAGCCTAGGACAGCGCTGTCTGGGTGAATTTCAGCAGATCCAAATTTAATCAAATCCCACAAATTGTGCAAATCACCCCTTAAATGTTTTGGTCCGTTGGAGCCTATTTTTCCACTATAAAATGGGGTGTTTGGGTGTGTTTTACATATGAATTGACTTCACAACTCCTACTCTTTCATTGCAAATCACTCATTCTTTACTCATAGCTTTTTTGAGAGCCATTTTTGTGAAGCTTGTGCTGTGTTCTTGAGCGTACTTAGTTTACTCATAATCTACTCTATAAGAGAGCCTCGTTCTTGAGTGTATTCGTGTTCCTAGACACTTTGAGAGAAAGTATTTCTCTTGGTAGATTCAAAGGAAGGGCTGTTTCCTTTGAAGGACTCGTTGAGGTTCATGTAACTCGAACTCTCAAGTTGTAACGGTTTGTTAAGCACCCGCAAGCTTAACGAGATAGTAGTGTAGCTTGAGTGAGTCTCTCGGGAGGCTAGATTAGCCACAAGTTGTGGTGAACCAGGGTAAAATTCGGTGTGCCTCTTACTCTTCTCTTTACTTCTCTTTTAATTGTTTAATTCCTGCGATTTCTACGATCAAACGCTATTCACCCCCCCTCTAGCATTGGTCACTTATTCTAACAAATTCATACTAAGGATAACGTCAATTTCCTTGTATGGTATTTTCAACAAGGTTTTGCAAGGAATTTTCGATTAACGAATGACTTCGATTCACACAATATAATCGCATATTGTGTTGTAATGAATCAGACATCAGAATGGAATACTCTAGATAACAGAGTTTGACTGATTCTAAACGTTCGTGTTTGAATTGGTGATCAGGTTATGTTGAGTCCAAATGAGGATCTTCAGCACTGGATTCACAGGTGTTGTTCGTAAAATCAACATTAAACGTTTTTTCAGAGTGAAATCACTTTCGTACGTCCTTTCCATGCAGATCAATTTCATTATTCACGATGCGATGCGTACGTTGATAACGTATTAGAGGTCGTATATTTTTTTCTTTCGTCTCTTCACCGAGTACAAAAATTCAACTTGAGTCTATGCTCGATACGATTTAAGTACTAACAAATGTTATCTAATGAGAATTCAATATAGTCAATATTTACTAAGTAAATTCTCATACCTTTCTTGGAGCAAAGGGATGCGAGAGTCGTGGATGTGACCAACATTTTTTTATTAAACAAATTTTGATCCGAAGATCGGTTTTAAAACCATTTGCTCTGATACCAAATTGTAACACCCTAATCCGTCCAGGTCTGCAGCCCCTTTCGGACTAAAGTATTTAACTTGGTAATCGTAAAAATTTAAAACTTTTCAAACACTTTTATTTATCACAATAATATTTTTCATAACATATACAGTATGGAGTACTCAACAATATTGCGGAAGCGAATTTAATTTTGACATATCATAAATCATTTCAAACTTGTCACATCCATCCCGACAATCTCGCCCCATCTGCTACCAGGATCACATTAATCTTTCTATTTATCTGCGTGTAGCAAATAAAACATACTACACACTCAGCGGTAAAGCTGAGTAAGCATATCTAATGCGTCGAACATCCATATAAACTGAATCTAAATTCATAATCAAATCATTTGATATCATGCACACAATGTTCATTTCAGACATTCACAGTTTGGTATTGTTCAGTTCATAACAATGCTCTTAGCTATTCTTAGTCTAAGGCCAGATCATAATAATGCTCTTAGCTATTCTTAGTCTAAGGCCAAATCATAACTTCCATAACCAGATTCTTTTAAGGCAATTATTAATCAGACACTTAAACTATCATTAGTTTAAGGCAATTGATTTCGGACACTTAATTGTAGTCAGATAAGGCAATCAGACACTTAAACTATCACTAGTTTATGGCAAATGATTCGGACACTTAACTGTAGTCAGTTAAGGCAACGACAATATAGCGATTGATCAACATTGGATCGGGCATTCCCAAACGAGTAATCCTCTAGTTTGGTGTACGAATCTCGTTTATACATTTTTATATAATTTATCAAACATTCATGTTTTCACAAGTCTATTATAATATAAGATCTATTCTAGAGGTCTTCTAGATAGCTTTAACATCAATTAACTAATGGGTATATCTTAGAGTTCTTCTAGATACCATTAACAATACAAATCGTTTAATAATTATCAATATATTCATTTTACCCATGGTTCAATCATCAACAATTATTTTAATCAGTAAGTTCATCATTCATAATCATCCATAATAATCATTCATCATAATCATCAATCAACATAACAATTGATAACAATTAGCGGTCTAGTTTCAAGTGTTAACACCCGAACATACAGTCATGCATCACATAACATTTTTATTTGTTAAAAACATCATTTTTATTGTAAAGAATCATCCTTAAAATAATCATAATCAATTGGTATCAAAAATAGGATTTTAAGGCTCAAAAATAGCATTTTCGGAAGAATTTTCAGATCAGAAATTCAGGGGATCGATCCAGCCCTCTAGATTGATCCATACTATGAAACATCACTCCCAATGGATCGATCCAAGCCCCTGGATCGATCCAGTTAGTGGTATTTCAGCCACTGTTCATCTTCTTCTTCGTTCGAGTCCAATTTCGGAAATACCGTTTTTAGTTATCGAACTTCAACGAAACTATATAGAGATGTTCTCCAAGGTTCATAGATCATTTTGGCATCATTAATTCATAGTTTTAACATCAATATCATGGTTTATGATGTTAGCCTTGGTATTCTTAATCTCATGTTTTGATGTTAACAAATAATTTTATTGAGCTAACGTTTGTTCAATTGTGTAGGAACGACAAAATCCACTAAAACGCGTTGATTGCGTCAATACGTTCGCTCACACAGGACTAGCATAGAATAGCTTAGAGTCATTTATTGTTAAAGATATTTGAATGATATATCTCTAAGCTCAAGCTAAATTTTGCACACACATAAAAAAGATTTTTACTTGGGTATTTATTTTTAAAATACATTTGGTAAATATTTTCGAAAAACATATTTTTCAAAATATTTAACTAAAGTTATAGCTCTTCTCAATACGAGATCGCCGGTTCTTGAATTTCTCAATTCCGATTAGTATTGAAAAAGTTATTAGCATTTTACCAAATTTATTTTAAAAATTCCGCACAGGGTTGACGAACGGTCGATGTGGTGAACCGTTGCTCCATAACGGTCGACCGTCCTATTGACCGTTGGAGAAACTGAACGTTACCCCGAACGGTCGACTGTTAGGCCTGAAACGGTTGATGTGATGGACCGTTCGGAGACCAGATTCCTTATTTCTTGTCTTTTTCACCCCCAACGGTTGGATTATCTTAATTATTGTATTAGGAGTTAATTATTCTTCTCTAACAGCTATTTTTCAATTTCAAACAACTCCTAATCCATCCCTATAAATACCCAAACCATTTCAATGTTTTTGATCAATCAAGCTTTGCTCAAATCTCTTAATTCTTTCTTCTTGTGTTCATAAAAATCTCTGATTTTTATTAGGCTATTAAAGAGTCATTTCTTCAATATATTTTCTTGAACACACATTGAGCTTGATCCAGAAAGATATACACTCATATGATATAAGAGAGTTGTAATTGTTAGAGTGTATGGAAATCATCACACCAACCCAACCTTGTATTTCGTATTTTTAAGGTGGTGTTGATTCATACTATTCAAACTTCTATATCTCTTGTAATTGGTCGAAGATATCCGTTGTAAAATCTTCATTAAACGGTTGGAGATAGCCGTGGTGAAATCTCCGGAAGCGGTCAAGGACATCCGTGAAATCCTTGTTAAGACGGTTGGAGATAGCCGTTGCAAAATCTCTAGGTTGAAGAAATCCTGCAAATCTTCGGTGCACGGTTGGGGATAGCCGTTGGAAATTCCTCAAAACTAGTTGGATACTTCAAGGCGTGAAGTATTGGCAATCTAGTGTAAACCTATTGGGAAAGATTTGTTTGCCAAAAATTGGTTCCGTCGTGACGATCGTGTTGAGACGGTCAAGGCGTTCTAGTGGATTGAAAATCTTTGAGGAGGAGCCTTAAGGTACTGAGTAGGGAGTTCCCGAACCAGTATAAAATCGGTGTGCATTTTCTTTACGCTTTTATTTTTGCGTTTTATATATTGCTTCCGCATTTGCCAACACTGTTTTTGTTAAACTCCGAAAAATTTTCAAACGCCTTATTCACCCCCCCCCTAAGGCGTGGGCACAACGAATAAACCGACTAACAATTGGTATCAGAGCGGTTTCATAGTTGAAAGTGCTTAACCGCATCTACGACAAAGATCTACTTGTTGTGTCCTTTTTTAAATTTGAATTTTTAATCTCAAAATTTTATTTTCCCAATTTTTTTTGGCCCAAATGGATTCTCAAAGCATCCACCGCCCTCCGTTTTTAAACGGCCAAAATTATTCTTATTGGAAAATGCGGATGGAATATTTTATACAATCCATTGATTTTGATTTATGGTTAAATGTACTTCACGGGCCATTTGTGCCGAGTAGTGGTAGCCTTGCAGGTTTATCTTCGGAGGACAAGAGGAAACTATCCATGAACGCAAAGACAATTAATATTCTCCATTGCTCTCTCGGCCCCGATGAGTTTGCACGAGTATGTATATGCAAAACGGCCAAAGAAGTATGGGACTTGCTACAAGCTACTCATGAAGGCGACATCTCAACTAAGCAAACGATGATTGCCCTTGGGAACTCCGAATATGAATCTTTCAAGAAAGGACCAAGCGAGACGATCCAAGACATGAACAAAAGGTTCAATGATATTGTCAACAAATTGAGTAAGTTGGGTATGACGTATACTACTTCCGAGCTTAATAAAAAAATTTTATTTTCTTTACCTAAAGAATGGCATAGTAGTATAGTGGATTTATTACCCAAGTGTGATAAGGCCGAAACCGCCCACATTTGGTCTTCCTTATATTCTCACGAACTTTTGTTGAGAAAGATTAAAGAGGAAGAAATGCGAGAAAATCCCAAAATTACCAACGCCTTCAAAACTTCAAAAGACTCATCAAGTGAAGAGTCAAGTGAGTCAAGTGATGATTCAAATGACTCAAGCTCTTCCGAAGAGTCAAATGATGATGAAGATGAAGAGAAGAAAATGAGAATGAAGTATACGGATTTCCTCAAATGGAAAAAATATGTGAAGAGCAAAGAAACGCATTCAAAGCCGAAGAAAGAGCGGCATAAGCCAAG